GGACCACGAGTGCCCCTGTCGGTCAACCAATCACGCACCGCGTCATATTGCGTCATGATACGTGATACCACAGCCAATTACCTGCGGTACGTGTCTGTACCGCTCACTTTGAATGGCTGCATCTGTATCTTTAATTGGATCTTATAGCTTCTGGTTTGTTGTTTTTCTAGATCAATGAGCTCTGCTTTGATATCTCTTTTGAATTAGTCTTTCAACTCATAAAGTTCCTTCATCATCTCTGTCTTTAGATCACATATTTCCTTACTGATTGCATAGATTGCCCAAAAGCTTTCACTCGTGTTTTTGGCCATTGCCGTGTTCTTTCTCTGAGAAGCAGTTGTCGTCATGTTCTGTTCTCATATCAAGCTCTTCTTGTCCTTTCTGTCTTGGTAGACCATTTTGGGATTTTACCCCACTCATTATTGGATTGTAAAATTAGCTAAGCTTGAAGAAAAAAGTTGAATTCTGTAAGTTTTGCTCTAAATGCCCAAGAGCTGAAAAGTTATGCCATCATCTATTTCACCACATCTCTAAAGGCTTTCTTATTATGTGTTTTCTCTGTTTTTGGCCCAATTTTTAATTGCCTTTGTTCTATTACTTATTATTCATAAACATGTATCTTATTTTTTATATGAAATACCAGGACAGAACAGACAAGGTATATAAAAAAATCAGACAGGTCAAACATTTACAATGATGCTGTTTTGAAATTATCAGTCATGTCTTCTTATTGTTTTGTTGTGTAAAGTCATGATTTGTATTGATTCTGTTCATAGAAGGCTACTGTATATATACCAGTTCCACTAGATCAAACATCCTGCCATGGAAGGCATTATCCTGTGGATAGGAGTTTATAACCACCATTAAAACATATTTCTCAGTCTAAGATTTTATCAGTCGGATTTACCTGCTATCTCTGATATGAGCGTCTGATTACTGATAAATTTTATCTTCAGACCACTGTTTCTGCAACAGACGAGATTAGACTTGATTGGTTTATAGTATGTATAGTCTGTGTCCTACTGAAATTGTTATTCCACCCCACCTTCTGTTTTTCCAAATATCCTATATGAAATTAATCAGACACTATATTGTGTCTGTTCCCTAAACCACAGACCTTATAAGATGGGTTTTAATTTCTTCTTAGTTGTGTATATATTTTGCTGTGTTTTCAATACTGGCTACTTTTGTCCATACTCTCTTCCCTGTTATTTTAATGTGCACCCTAGTTTTTTTCAACAAATGATTTGGTGAGATAAGATCTTGGATAAGCTTTTAGCAACCAGGTTTTGTCTGCTTTTGAAGTTCTAATCCTGCTTTCTCTGTTTTAGGTGGACTTGATAAAAAATATCAGTAGTATTCCTCAGCCATTCTTGTTCACTCGTCATGTACACTTTCTCAACTTCAGAAGGTAAAATTGGAAACTTATTTCACTTCATACATCATCTTTCAAGATAAAAATAAGTGTGATCATTGCAAAATTGGTAATCTTTTAATTGTTTGATATTTAATTATATGTAACATTCAGCAGCTGACCAATTATACTCCTCTTCTCCTTTCAGGGAAAAAAAACACTCCTCAAAATGTAACTACACTTTGTCCTTTACTTGCCTTAAAGCTGAAGGGCTAGTAGACATAATAAATACAAAGGGGTGGACCCAAATATAGTTATTGATATTACACATATTGCTTAAATTAGTATGGTTCATTATTCTCTTCATGTTAAAACTTAAACTAAATGGCCTCGGTGACCATTGAGGCAATTCATTTGTACGAGGTTTGTACTGCAATGTGGAGCTTACTTTGTTAGAATCTCTTGCTTTCTATTTTCATTTACCTTAACCAGCACAAACCTTAAAATGGTTTTATTAGCATACTATAAATTTTATAAGGTTTGTTGCTGTTACTTTTAATTTAGAGCTGAGATCTGTATTGTGAATCAAACTGTAATGAACGAGATTATCAGAATGTAGTTGCCAAAACCTAACTTATTGTCTAATATACTGTCCTTTCTCAGGTTTAGAATGGAACAGCCTGTGTACATCAATATAATTAGGGATCCCATAAATAGATTTCTGTCAAATTACTTTTTCCGTCGTTTTGGTGACTGGAGAGGAGAACAGAACCACATGATCCGAACTCCAGGCATGAAGGATGAGGAGAGGTATCTAGTAAGTGTTTTCTCTTCTTTTTGGGAACATCTTCATTAATTTTATGTATGTTTATTTGTTAGAATTCAGCATTGTCGGAACTGTGCTGTCCTCCACAGTATACAGTGGTGTGAAAAAGTATTTGCCCCCTTCCTGATTTCTTATTTTTTTGCTAGTTTCTCACACTGAAATGTTTCAGATCATCAAACAAATTGAAATATTAGACAAAAATAACACAAGTAAACACAAAATGCAGTTTTTAAATGAAGGTTTTTATTATTAAGGGAAAACAAATCCAAACCTACATGGCCCTTTGTGAAAAAGTGATTGCCCCTCCCCCTGTTAAAAAATAAATCAACTATGGTTCATCACATCTTTGGAAAGCTGAGTTCAACTTCTCTAGCCACACCCAGGCCTGATTACTGCCACACCTGACAAAGTGAAGTAGACCAAAAGACCCTCAAAAGCTAGACATCATGCTGCGATCCAAAGAAATTCAGGAACAAATGAGAAACAGAGTAATTGAGATTTATCAGTCTGGAAAAGGTTATAAAGCCATTTTTAAAGTTTTGGGACTCCAGCGAACCACAGTGAGAGCCATTATCCACAAATGGCGAAAACATGGAACAGTGGTGAACCTTCCCAGGAGTGGCCAGCCGACCAAAATTACCTCAAGAGCGCAGCGACGACTCATCCAAGAGGTCAGAAAAAACTCCACAACAACATCCAAAGAACTGCAGGCTTCACTTGCCTCAGTTAAGGTCAGTGTTCATGACTCCACCATAAGAAAGAGACTGGGCAAAAATGGCCTGCATGACAGAGTTCCAAGACGAAAACCACTGCTGAACAAAAAGAACATAAAGGCTCGTCTCAGTTTTGCCAGAAAACATCTTGATGATCCCCAAGACTTTTGGGAAAATACTCTGTTGAACTTTTTGGAAGGTGTGTGTCCCATTACATCTGACGTAAAAGTAACACAGCATTTCAGAAAAGGAACATCATACCAACAGTAAAATATGGTGGTGGTAGTGTAATGGTCTGGGGCTGTTTTGCTGCTTCAGGACCTTGAAGACTTGCTGTGGTAAATGGAACCATTTACTGTCTACCAAAAAATCCTGAAGGAGAATGTCCGGCCATCTGTTCGTGACCTCAAGCTGAAGCGCACTTGGGTTCTGCAGCAGGACAATGATCCAAAACACACCAGCAAGTCCGCCTCTGAATGGCTTGAGAAAAACAAAATGAAGACTTTGGAGTGGCCTAGTCAAAGTCCTGACCTGAATCCGATTGAGATGTTGTGGCATGACCTTAAAAAAGCGGTTAAGGCTCGAAAACCCTCCAATGTGGCTGAATTACAACAATTCTGCAAAGATGAGAGGGCCAAAATTCCTCCACAGCGCTGTAAAAGACTCATTGTGGTGCATTGGTAGTTAGTGAAACATACTGTGCATGTTTTATTCCACTTAGTATTGAATATTTATATGGAATTTTACAACTAAAGGGACATTTTAGTAGCTGAGCATAAAAAGAAGAGGAGCATAATGCATCTGAAGGTCATAAACAATATTAATTTATGAACATAAACATTCGAAGATCTGTTCACGGCGAGGGATGAGGACTGCAGCTGACTGTGAGGCAGCTTTCCGGGGACTGCAGGAGGCACTGGTGGGGGCTCCCGTCTTGGCTTTCCCGGATCCGAAGTTGCCTCAGGTGCTAGATACAGATGCCAGTGATACGGGGGTGAGCGCAGTGCTAGCACAGGAGGGGCCGGGCAGTGAGAGGTTCGTCGCGTACTTTAGCCATGTGCTCAATAAGGCCGAGATAAATTATTGTGTCACCTAGAGGGAGTTGCTGGCTGTAGTCTCAGCCGTCCGCCACTTTTAAACCCAGTTTAAACTGCGGACGGACCATGCGTCCCATACCTGGCTGCTCAATTTCAAAGAGCCGGAGGGTCAAATGGCAAGGTGGATTGAGATCCTGCAGGAATAAGACTTCATGGTCGTGCACTATGCGGGGTCTCGCCACCGAAATGGAAACTATCTCGCAGAGGTCCTGTGAGCTATTGCGCCTGGCAGGAGCAGCTTGAGGAGGCTGTCCGTGGCGAGGGGAAAGCGAGCGCCGCGGCCACGTCTCTGAGGCCGTTTGGTGTGGGCCTGACAGACCTGGCAGCTGGAGGCAGACCCCGACATCGGGCCGGTGCTCTGCTGGAAGGCACAGGACACAGACCATGCAGGAGGAGCTCGCCCCTCACCCCAAGTCCATGAAGGCACTCTGCGTACTGTGGGAGGTGGGGGGTGCTGCGCCAGGGATGGCGGGTGCCCTCCAGCTTCGAGGTCAGGTGGCAGCTTGTGGTGCTGTGGTCACTCCGCAGGGCGGTTCTCTGCGCGGTGCATGGCCAGCTGGGCCTAGGGCACTTTGGCTCCGCGAAAACTCAGTGGCGACTCCAAGGCCGCTTCTATTGGGGTATCTGTCACCAGGACGTGGAGTAGTTCTGCCAGACGTCGCGATCTGCATGGCCCAGAAGGGTCCTCCCGGGCATTCACGGGCGCCCCTCCAACAACATCAGGTGGGGGCGCCCATGGAGCGGGTGGTGGTGGACATGCTGGGCCGTTTCTTTTGAAGCGGGCAGCCGCTACGTCCTGATGGCGGTGGACTACTTTATGAAGTAGCCCGAGGCTTATGCCTTCCTGGATCAGAGCAGTAGCCACCATAGCAGATGCCCTGCTGGAGGGAATGTTTGCCAGGCTGGGGGTGCCGGACCACAGCGACCAGGGTCTCGCCTCAGTGGGACTGAGACTGCCACTTATCCCTCGCCCTCTGGGCGTACCGGACCGCTGTGCAGGAGTCCACCAGGTGCACCCCGGCCTGCACACACTTTGGCATTCGGTTCGCCGCCGGGAGGAGTGCTGGCACAGCCGGGCCGGATTAAAAGTGAGACCTGCAGCAGCAGATGCTGTGAGTACACAGCCTCGCCCAAAGCTGCCTGACTCAGGCGGGGGTACAGCAGAAGCAGTACTATGATCTGTGCTGCAGTGGGACCCCTTTCAGACTGGGGGACTTCGTCTGGGTTTACAACCTGCAGCGCCGCAAGGGCTTCAGCCCGAAGTTGGCGCTGGCCTGGGAGGGACCCAGGGAGGTCCTAGAGGTCGTGGGGGAGGTCTGCTACCATGTCCGGTTCGGAAAGAGGGGGAAGGTGGTGGTGCTGCACTGTGACTGCCTGGATCCCTTCCCTTCCAAAGGCTGCAGGATTGTGTACTAGATGTAGACGGGCTATTCAACGCCAGCGGGACGCCAGACCTCTCAGGTGGGGGCAGTAAGGCACATTTGCCTGGTGCTGCGGCTGAAGAGTGCTTGGCTGGGGTGCGTGGCAAGGGGCAGGACAGGAGTAATAGTGGTCAGGGCAGGGACAAGGAAAGCCGCTGACCAGTGCAGCTGATCCACTGCGAAACGGGCATACAGTGTGATGAGATCGCCCGCATTCTTGTAAATAGTTCCCTGGTTACTCACCCCTGTTATACTTGTATCCAATTGCCACCCTATCCCTGTGTAGCTACCCGAATAGACCCCAGTGTGTTGCTCTCTCTCTGGCTCTTGCTTGTTCTCTCTCACTTTCAGTCAGTCTTTTGCTCTGCTGGTGCGCAGTCATGGGAGTGCTGTGCTGGCTGTACCGAAGATTAATAAGAGTGCTGTTTTCTTTACTCAACAAGTGTCTGAGTCACTGAGTCCGTCCTCGTCGAACCCAAAACTATTAAAATATGGAATCGTGTATCTAAAGAAACAAATACCAATATAATTATATTCATGTACTGTAGCACAAACAGTAGTATAAGACTCTATTGATATGTGTATGGCTGTTTCAGTGATTGATATGTCACTGTGTTTGTGGTGTGATGGCTTAAGTGACTGACTGACTGTGACTTGAACACGGTGGGTGTTTAAATCCAGCTTTTGCTATGAGTTTTCTTTTAACAAATAAACATTTCTGTGAAAAACTAAAATTGCAAATATCATGGACACTCTATTTACATTTTTTATATTTCTAAATATCACAACATGTTCGTACTGTATGTACACAGCATTACCGCAGGGTGTAGGGTGCAAACCCATGTGAGCCCCAAAGCCCTACATTAATATAGCGAATTCGCCCGGTTGGGGTACGCGGTGAGGGGCATGGCGGGGAGTAGGAAAGCCGCTGACCAGTGCAGCTGTAAAACAGGCGTACAGTCTGGGGAGATCGCACGTTTTTGTGTAAATAGTTCCCTGGGAGAGTTCTCTCCCTCGCTCTCTCTCTCTCTCTCAGCTCTCAGCTCTCGTGGGAGTGCTGGCTGGCTGGTTGTGCCGAAAAGAAACAGCCATGTTTCACTCCACAAAGTACAGTATGAGTCTTTGTGGCCGTCCTCGCTGAATTCAATACATTATTAATAATATCTTCCATGTCACATTAACATTGGAATGTTCCTTTTTTACACGTTTAAAAGGAGGCGATACACAAGTGTCCCCCTTTAACCTTTTACAGAGAAATTTCACCAGAGCCTCCAATAATACTCTTCTTGTGTTTAATTTTTAGTTTAGCAGGATTTAAGCTACAGTATATTAATATATATTGTTATTAATTTCTTTAGATACGCAATTCCATATTATATTCCCTATTAATCAAATTCTAAAAATTTCAATATAGTGTCCATTATATTTGCTATTTTTGTTTTTCAAAGTAGCCTTTCAAAGGCTTGAGGCATCTGTTAAATTGCCCCACTGGATAAATTGTTTGTAAAGAAATCTGTTTTACGACTCTTTTCCTCCCCCTTTCATTTTCAAAGTAGAATAGGCAAGCCATTCAGTGAAAGTCAGTTTCCCCCCCACAGACAGACTGAGTAATGTTTTCTTAGAAAAAGAGATACACAATGCAAAGCTGTGTCGGTCTTCACAGTCGAAACGTTCTGTTTTCTCTCTTCTCTTTTCAGCATGGAATAAACCTATTACTTATTCCTTTGCAGACTCCACTACTTATTAGTTATACATTTGAA